TGTTGTTGTTGTTGTTGTTGTTGTTGTTGTTGTTGTTGTTGTACCACCCCAAAATGTGCTGTACTGGGTTTTCTAGCTTTCTAGAGAAGGTTTGTCATTTGTACAGGGAGAAGGAAGATCACTCTCCTCTGGTTCTTCTAATGAAAGTGGTTCTGTCAATGGAACAACTCCACATTATCCTTGCAAACACTACAGAGACTCACACTAAGAATGTTAATACTTGTGTTTGCTATTCAGACAAGCAAGAGCAAGAAACTGCACAATTTTTCTCCTTTTCTGTGAGATAGCAAGATACTTCCTTGTCCTTTTACTGAGAGTTGCACAAGTGAGAGTTCAATAAGCAATTGCACAAAATCATGATAGATAGTTAAAATGACTTTACTTGTTGCATGGGTTTTAAAAAGTTATAACAATTGATGTATTGATTGTGTCATTTTTTTTATCATGAACTAGAATGTATCTGCCAGGAGTGTGTGTTTGTTTCAGAAATCTTTTTGTGTAAATTATGGAGACCTCGATAAACCCAAAAAGTACTCCTTTGGTTATTCCAAGTGAAAAATATGCATCAGGAGCTGATGGAATTACTTGTTGTACTTTTATTTATTTATTTATTTATTTATTTATTTATTTATTTTACATCCAAACAATATTTTGCAATCACATAGTGTCTCAAACTATTGCTCCTCTATTTCTGAAGTTTTCTGAGTACCTTCATTTTACCCCAGGGGCAATTTTTGTACAGTCATAATATAGATTGTTATAGCTTTAGTGGGTGTGTCTAACCCTCCTTTTCAGATTATATATATATACACAGCAAGTGGCTACCCTAATTATAGTACAACTAACAGGCCTGCAGAGATAGTCCTGGCCTCATAAAGCAGCAGTTTCTGCTCCATCTGAGCCACAATTTGCTGAGGCATGTGTACTGGGTCATATACAGTGTTCCCAGTTCCACACACCTGCATTCATTATCCCACCACTTTTAAAAAGGGGTTGTACTTACAGTTCACAATATACTTGGGATGGTAGCACTGATAGTACATGGAATACATTATTCATATAACTGAAATGAGACCCTTTTTCCCCAAGTCACTTTCATGACACCCAACATTGTGGCCTCAATATCCTAATATTTCTGATCTGAATGTAGTGAGTCTGGTTTTGATAAATTCAGAGCATACATTTTAAAACCATATTAAAATTATATAGCTATAAAGAGAATCACTGAAAAGTAATAAAACATTTCTACTGGCCTAATTAATTCAAATTCAATTTAAACTGTTCCAGGGAATGAAGTCAGGAGAAACATACTAGGCATACAATTTAGGAGCAAAAAAATGTGATTAATGTCTGTGGGTTTCTTTCCTCCACAGCACATGGACATTGAAAATGATGGACCAAAGGAGCTGCAGACCCATTCATATTTTCAAGTGTGGGAAGACCAGGAAACTGTTCCCATTTGTATTTTCTTGATAATTCATTCAAGCAAAGGTTTATAACTTTGCCATCTCAATTGTTTTGCTCTATTATTGCCATCAGCCATGGCCAACATAACCTACATTGAGAGCTGCAGTCCAAAAACATCCGAAGGACCACAGTTATCTTAGAAGGAAGATGATGTGCTGGAACATCCTTTATTCTTTACCCCAAGCCCCTCATCTTCCCCAACTCATTGTTCACTTCAGTTTAGGGATGTGGTGGCTTCTTTCCATATCTGCTTTTCTCATTGATTTCTCCATCAATTCCTAGTACATATTTCTGTTCTAATAAGTAGCATGATGTAGTAGGGAGGAGAGTCAGTGTGGTATAGTGGTTTGAGCATTGGACTCTGACTCTGCAGACCAGGGTCCAAAACCCTGCTCAGCCATGGAAACCCACTGGGTGACCTTGAGCAAATCAGACTCTCCCAACCTCAGATGAGGACAAAGGACAAATCTTGTAATGAAAACCCTTTCATAGCTTCATCTTAGGGTCACCATAAATTGAAAATGACCTAAAGGCACACAACAACAAACAAGTCATGTGCAGTCCTTCACATGTCATTAAACTGTAAGACTCACCAGTGTGTAGTTGTGGTAAGGAACAATGGGAAGTTCAATTCGGCAATATGCACCAAGCAACATATTCCCTTTTCCTGATGTATGCTGGTAGTATGGTATGAAGACAACTGTGCTAGTGCATTTCTATCTCTCTATATAATCCACATGAGCATAATGACTTTCCTTCACATAGGAAAGTCATTATGCAGGAATCATTTGGTTCAAAGTGATAAAGCAACAGTTTTGGGAGTTACTGGTTGACTAAAGTGAAGATGTTTCTGACAGCTGGAGTTGCCAGATTTCAGGACCTGGCCCTCAGTCTCTAGTTTTCATGGGACACCTCCAGGCAGGGGGCAAGCATGCAAATTTTCCAGTTTTCATAGGATCAGCACCAGGGTAGAGGATAGGTCTGTATGCAAATCTCCAGCTCAGCTAGTAGAGCAGTAGCTTATTCCATTTCACAAGAGTTAATGAATTCATTGCTGCAGTTTGCAAAAACTTGGGGGGGGGGTTCCACTCTCTGTTTTCAGGTTTGGTCCAGAAATCTCAGGACCTGGGATGATTCTGGCTGGGCAACTTTCCTGGTAATAATAGATCAGCATGTTCTTGGACAACCAATTTGTGGAACCTTTCTTATTGTACCCTTCCTAGCAGTACTGCATCCTCTGTTGGCACTACCTAAATATTAAAGCAGGGGTAGGCAACTTTTTGAGCTGGGGGCTGGGTTGCTGTCCCTC